TAGCCACGGGATAAGGAACGCAGCTAACAAACAACTGAGAAGGTGCAGTTATATCGGCCACGATGATGAGATTTCAATAATAATAATAGTAATAATATCTATATTAACAACAGCAATTATTATAGTAATATTAGTAGTAGTAATAGTAATTATAAAGACAAAGAGTATGACATGAGTATAAGTAACAGTTACATCTTTTGTTTTTTTCTAACTTCTGGCACAAACTTGATGGTAAAAGTAAGGGTCGGGGGTCTGGTGTGTTCCGATTTAGAAGCTCGTACTTGGACGTCCCCGTCTGTCTGTTGATCAAAGTATTATACATTGTTTTTATTGGGTCCTCAAACTCCGAGCTGACACCTCTGCAGCCTTAACTCTTGAACCCAAAACACAAGTGCAAAACTCTCTGAACTGCCCCCCCCCCTTTCTTTTAATTGGTATTAGTCCTCTTAATTACCCTCCAGCAGTAAAACAGTTCAACTTGAGAATATGAGGCAAAAATGAGCAATCAGCTGCTAATGGAACAGAAACGAAACCCAGCAGTTTTGTTGCCATGCAGCGTGGCATCATCCATATGTTACAGTAGCAGAACTACTTCCTTTGTTATAAACTTCAGGACAACTTTTGTCTCCCTTCATTAACGCTATTTGCCCACAGTCTGTTGGAGAAAATACACAAAGGCAGGGAGGCAGAGATTTGCTCAGTTAAACTGAGGAAAAAAAAACAACGTTGCCGGGATAATAGTCGTCATTCACCGTCTAATGAACCTATAATTTCGCCCGAAGCTAAAGTTCTGCTATTTATACCATTAAAAACTAATCGTCCACAGACAGGCAGGGAGAACGAGAGTGAGAGGGAGAGACAACCGAGAGGAAAAACAGCAGTTTTAAAATATGAAATAAGTTCTTATCTGAAGACAGAGAATATATTAAAGGAGTACTGAAGGGGACGGTTTATACTTGATAGAAATATATATATATATTTACATAGTTTTCTCGAAACCCGACGAGCATCGTTAGGGAGTTTGTTTGCACAAACGACTGCTATAAAAATGTTTTCTACAAAACAAACAATTTTAACATCCAAGTCAAACAATTACTGTAATTTTTGCAAGTATACTGTTTACGATCCTGTTAAAGGTATACAGCAGATATCTATCACAATAGATAGGTTAGCGCCCCCACCTGACTGCAAATGGTGGTCGGGTTCAATCTACCGTAGTAACTTATATCTGTATCTACTCTGATATTTACTGATTGAATTATTTACCACATTCATTACATTACAGTTAATGTACTACCATGTACCATACACGTAGTTCATAATACTCATGTAATTCCGTTGTTTGGTTATTTATTCATTTATTTATTCAGGTACTTGTGTTTGCCATTTATTTCTTCAGGTACTTGTGTTTGCATGACTGCCTCACATGCTTTAAAGTGTCTCCAGAAAAATACATAGTTTTTGTATTTTGTATTCCATATTGAATTAAGGTGAATGTACATTCTGCCGTGCCGTACTCAGCATCTGAACCATACAGTAAAGTACAAGTCAGATAACGCTGCAAAGATTACATTAAAAACAGTCAACAGTGAGTCACGTGACACGATGAAGCGTTGTTGCCGTACAAGTCCTTATATTTTCACCACTTTTTCCTCCTGCCTTCATTGGTATGCATGAGTGATGTCGGAGCAGCGAGCAGTTCTTTTCAAACCAGGCAGAAACTGTAAATAATATGCACGGCCACCAGACAGTCCAGATCGCAGCACCAAGGCTTCTTGATGAAGCAGAGTGAATAGAAAAAGGAAGAAAGGATGAGACCTAAAAAGAAGTCCTGCTGCTTCAACCACCCACTGCTGCCGCTTTTTTCCTCTTCTAATACTGGAGTCTCTGTGTCTCTGACTGTCTCTGTTGATTTCCACCAAGACTAGCACATGTTTGTGTCTTCCACTTGTTATCTCTGCCAAATCTTCCACCACGAAATGCACAGTTCTGGTCCATCAACAGCACAGGCCAAGCCTGAACTCTGGTACAGCACCTGCACCGTACCTGTCATCAGTCTGAGCTGAAGTGATGGACGTCTTCCCACACAGACTTATTTATTATAGAACAAATGCCACATCCATTTCATTGCAGACTTTCTAATCAATAGTGAGCCAGAGGCTGAGACTTCAGAGTTCACATCCATGTTAAATACTTGATGTGGTCTTCAAAAAGAATCCCCAAAAGTCTTGTTTTGGCAGATGCCTCTGGGTGTCTCGCTAAGACTGCTTTTTTTTTTTTGGAATCCAGTGTCTAGTTTTGAATCCCTATTTAATCTGTAATTTAAAATGCAGTTAGTGTGACAAATGTTTCTAAAAGCCTCCTCTAATCTGTTGGACATTTTATGGACTTTATTTGCCGTGAATATCTTCAGCTGACCTAGTTTTCAACAGGACATTTTGTTGATTGAATTAAATAGGTCTGCGTAGAGATTGGATTTCCAGGTTGTTCCTGTAGGTTTACACCAGAGTCTGACTTCTGGATTCTACACTACAGCTGCTGTTTGCCTGGTGAGCTCTGGAGTTGATGGAATTTTCTGAGCAGGACCAAAACTTCTACACACGTATTCTAGCTCAAAACTTCAATATCATGGACACAAACATGATCCAACTGTGCATCAAGTACCGTTTGTCTTTACTTTGGCCACTTCTAACAAAGTCACAAACCTTCGCGACCCAAGTCATTAGACATTATTCGTAAACTCCTGGGAAACATGACGTGAGACAACCCAAAAAAAAAAATCTCTTGCGAACCGCCTCAGGGTTGCGACCCACTCTTTGTGAAACAATGATCTACAGTCATGTCTCCAAACTGCAGAAAGAGTTCAGAAACAACTGCAGTGAAGTTAATCTTTAAATCTGGTCATTATTAAATACTACTGCTGCTACTCCACTGCTAAGTTATGCTCAGCCACAAACGTCAACAAACCAGAGTTGTCAGTGAGTTTTCTGCCTGTTTCAGTTCATTTTATCATATTTCCTTTGTACTCTCTCCACCATCTTCATCCCCGATCTCTCTCTCTCTCTCTCTTTTTTTTTGTTTGTTTCATCATCATGATCGCCATTTTATTAATCTCCCCCAACAGACTGCCTCTATTAATAGGTTTATATCTCCCGCTTTGCCTGTAATATTCACATATACTGCTGATTAAACAGATATGATGTCACAGTCACTTTTAATTAATCAGAGGATTACAGACAGACAGGCTCATATCTGCCTGGCTGACGGCCAAAAAAAAAAAAATCGTTCAGGTTCACTCTTCATAACATCCCATCACTTAAAGAGAAAAAAAATCAGCTTCCAGTTTAACAACATTCCAAGTCGTAAGGTAACGGCGACAAGTAGAGGAGATAATAAAGACTGGTGGTTCTACGCTGATGCATCTGCTTTGCCCTTTCATTTGAATTCATATGGGTCATTACTTCAGGTTCAATTAAATAATGGAGTGAGTGTCTGTGCAGCATGTCTGTGGCTAATTGGAGGGTCCCAGGTGCACTGAACACACCGGGTGAACAGACAGGGGTAATTACCAGTACTGTTGGTAGGTGTGAGTACGATCGCACAACTGTGTGTGTAATTATACACCAGATTAAAGAACGCTCCCTGCCGTTGACAAAATCCCCTTTTCTTCCAAAGTTAGCAGGTCTTAACTCGGCAGCATCCATGAATCTGGGATTATATAACGCACTGCCCCTGTAAGTACCCTGTCCACCGGTTTGCTCCAGGCAACCAGCTGATTCACTTTAATGGTTGATGTTCCTGGTTCGCTCCCTGTGGGCCTGTTACTCAGCCTAACTCTGTCAGCGCTGCCTTCAGGGTACACATAATGAAGAGAGCAGAGAAGTGAACTCTGGATCCGGAGGTCATCATTAAACCTTTTTTCTGCACTTGTTAAAATCAAAGACGCCGCTGTCAGGGCCGGGCGTTCAAACTGCTTTTCTAATGTTTGTCTTTTAATTCTCAAGTCTTCCAGGTTTCACCCCCGGTGGGCAAACACAGCAATGACAAGGGCTTAACAAAGTTTAACACAATACATCAGTAAAACCTGAATTATTATACTTCTATTCTAATACAGTTTCTAAGGAATATGTTCTCGACTGAACCAAATGTTTACATAGTTCAGAGTAATAAAAGTTGTCAAGATATTCACTCATTTTTGTTCTATGAAATCTGGTAAATAATTTGTAAAATTAAAAACATTTTAAAGAAATTTAAACAATAGGCAGAATGACACCTCCTTCAAGGTTTTTGTTGATATTTGTCCAAAGCTAACTTGTGATTATCAAGGAGCATGTCTTCCACGGCCTTTCATGCAGGTGATTTAAAAATCACATTAAACATGATTATCAAGGAGCATGTCGTCCACGGCCTTTCATGCAGGTGATTTAAAAACCCTTTGAGCCACTAGATAAAACATAATGTTTTATTAATAATCGGATTCTAAAACTTTCCTCCAGAACAGCTGATAAAATTAGCAGCCTCTGAAGCTCACTCCTCTGAGGGCCAGTAATCACAGAAGACAGGCCAGAGTGATGGGCGGTGGTGGGATACGGTAGACTGTGAAAAATTAGCTCGTCTGATGAACCGCAGTGGTAAGAAGTCGTCTTACCAACCAAAATATTACTGCCTTCAATCACTCCTGAACTGCACTCTACTTTATGACCTACAGTACTGCAGTACTGTGGCTTTAGTTCATGCAGGTTTGTCTACTTTTGTGAATAAAAGTTTTGTACGATTGCAACCACGTTCAAGGTGAACCTGGTTAAAACAGTATTCGGTGTCGAAGGTCAAACCCTGAGGTCAGGTCCTTGATTAAAAAAAGAACAGTTACTTGGAAAATTAGATTAGAGGCACGGCTGCTGACATATCACCCGCACGTCGTCAGTGACATTTTTACTTCCAACTCTTCATTTTCCTGATCTTAATTTCATGTGACTGTGGTTGTGTGTCTGTCCACACAGTCTCAGGTGAAGATGAAGTCTACGGCGGTGGTGGACGGAGGCCTGTTCACAGAGAGCTACTGTAACATCTGCAACGCCCAGCTCATCTCCGAGTCCCAGCGCACAGCCCACTACGAGGTGAGTCCAGAAACACACACACGACAACTGTACACCGGTACCCTTCGGCCGTAGTGGTGCCAATTTGTTTGTGTGCCATTTAAGCAGCGCTCATGCGTCACGTATCGACTCCCTGGAATTGCTCGACAAACAAACGCCAGTGCGGTTTTGTTTTTTTTTCCCCGTTCTAATGTAGTCCACTTCCCCTTTAACTGCTTTAATGATTGTCAATTAAAAAGCCTGTCCTGCATTATTTAACAAGTGAGTGTGTGTGGTGTGTGTGTGTGTGCGCGCATGCCTACACCGCACGTGCGTTTGCGTGCAACAAAGACGTCCTTGGTTACAAGACACAGCAGTGATAAACAAGGAAAGTAATGAGTAGAAGGTCCTTATCTGTGGGGAATTAAACAAGGACAACAGCAGCCAACAGTGTCCGTGGCTGCAGCGTCTTCCACCAACCACGTCAACCTAAAAGTAATTCATGAGCAGCATGGAGACAGAGCCGTTTATCGAAAGCACACAATCTTAACATTGGGAGGGAGCGGAAGAATGGGTTGAGCTGAGTCACTGCATCCCCTCAATGTCATCCTTACAATGGATCTCCATGGAGGGGAGTCAACAGAAGATTTAGGGCAGAAATATAACAGAAAACAGATTTCCTGCAGGCTAGAATTAGACAGAAATGGACTTGAAATGCACAGTTTATTTCATTACGTGTGTTTTTTGTTTGTTTTTTGTCTTAGACCTGGAAATAAACTAAAGAAATGAGTGTTTTAAAACACCCTCAAGAAAGCTTACCGTAATTTCTGTTTAAAAATAGCATCCGCAATCTATGTTTATGTTAAATGGAAGCCGTTAAACAACATTGAACATCGAGATTCTAGGAACGTAAAAAGAGTTCTTTTTAGACATGAGGCCATTTTCAACATTTTAACTACGTGTGTTTATTTTTAAAAACCCTTCTAACACATACGTACGAAAAACCAAGATAAAGTATTGACTGAGTTGGTTTAGAAACAGCCAGATTAGATGTACAAAAGACCAGTACAATCATAGCATAATAATCTATAAATAACAATAAGTCCACATTTTCCCCCTTTGTTTTCCTGCAAATAAGTACAAATATATTAGATAATATTCATATTTAATAAAATATAATTTGTCAAAACACCACAAACATGAAGTGCATTTTTTACACTTTCAAATTCATCAAGTGGATCGGAATGAACCAAGTAGTGGGCCGGTCTTGGACCACGGGCCGTATGTTTGACATCTCTAGTTCATTTTTAATACTGTGGGTTTAAACATTTTGAGTCTAATAAACCATAGGGTAGATCTGGATTAATCATAATTAATCATGATTAATTGAGGTCATTAAACATTCCTGTCCATGGTTTATTTGAGCAACGACCGGTGTTCAAACCTCTGAACTCTGACCCTGACCCCTGTATTACAAAGAGGTTGAAATGCATGTATTAGCACGGTGAATAATGCGAACCGATGTTCAACAAGAACAGCGTAATGCAGCTAACTCTTTTTATGATGAGCAAAGACAAACTCATAAGTTAGTATGAGTCAGGAGAAAGTGTCCGTTACTTCCGTTACTTTAGGAGCCCTCGCTCACCCAAACACATCAATGCTGGCTCACCCACACTGAGACACAGTGTTCGGGGATCAGATAACAAAACTTTATATTTGCAGTCGTGTCCCTGGAGAGAATCAGTACACACTCCTGCAACCAGCGCTGTTTAATCATCTTCTGTTTTAGGCTGCTCCCTTTAGGAGTCACCGCAGCAGCACCGCTCTTTTTAGTGTGTAGTGTACGTCCTGCTTTACTACATCTGTGAATCTTATACGGGGGTCTTGCAGTTTTCCTCGGTGCCGTCGGCTGCATCTCCAAACTGTTCAACCTCTGCTCTTCATATAATCTGCTTTCTGGCGTCTCGTATTTCTCATTTCTCATATCGTCCTATCCTGATCAGAGTCCCAGCGTTCCTAACTCTGCCTTAATCACTTCCACCTGCACTAATGGCACTAATCAATTCTCTTGGCCAAGACGTGGAAATTATAGAGAGTGGGTGACGAACACAGAGTTGTGGAAACTATAGAGAGTGGGTGACGAACACAGAGTAAACTCCAAACATTAGAACGCTCTGAACACAGGAAGTGTTTTAATTAAGCTTTAGCTCATGACCTTTAACCAACCTGTTTGACCAGTCACACGGTCTCAACGGTCTATTTTAGACTATTCTGAACTAAATCTCACTGCTTGAAATGCCCTCTCACTCAGTGGGGACATGCGAAAATGTCAAACAAGTGTCCCCTCAACAACAACAGATCTGGAAAAACAGGCTCCATAACAACAGCCGTAGCAGGAGCTCTGATACACACAGAGAGCATTAGCAGTGTCTCCAGCAGGCAGACGTTCTCTATTGTCTCTGGATCTATTATAAGCACTTGAACAGTGTCTCCTTTTTGGTGGTCCGCCTCTACACCCACTACTCATTTTGAAAAAAGTAACATTATGTTATTCCTAGTCTTTGTCTACTCTGGATAAGGAGAAATTATCTTTCAATTTCAAGGTCATTTGTGTTGTGTGTATGTCCTTGAATTTAAATATCTTGGACTAATTAAACCATTATTATCATAGTGTGTGCTGTAGTAAACAGTACCAATGTTATTCAAAATAGTTTCATTTGTAGCCTGTCTTGGCTTCAGTTTTACATTCAGGCACCATTATTAGATTCTCACACTGTGAGAACACCGAGCACAACGTTAAGATTTTTTTTTTTTACTTAAAAAAGTGGGTGTAAAAAACACTTCCCTGTGTCTGTGAGACGTGAAATATACAGCACAGGGACGACAGTCTTTCTTCACAACCGGAACTGACAGGATTTCTCCTTCACCCTGTTATTAGACGGTGACAGGAGCGATAGCAGGGAAACTTCTGTGATAGAAAGAAGGAATAGGAGTGAAAATCAATTTTTTATTTTTCTCTTTTTGAAATATTGTCACCTTTGGAGGTTCGACACATTGTAATTCAGTTAAATCCGGCTTTTGAGAAATGGAGCGTTTTTCCATTTTCAATGCATTCTATAATCTAGTATCGCCGCGGCTGATGTAAAGAAGTCATATCTGCATCTGGCTGCCGCCAGCAGCAGCAGCAGCAGCAGAGTTTATAGAATGTATCAGATGTGATGCAGGGAGGAGGAGTGAAGGTCACTGCATGCTAATTAGATTAGACAGAATAGCTTCCTCCTCATTGACAATTAGAAGATGCGGGAACTGTCCAAGTGCAATGGATTCAGTCTGGACTCCAGAGAATGTTTAGAACCTTCATTGTTCTGTATTTACAGCTCTCTGTGCTGCCTTACAAACCCTCTCCGTCTATTTCTGTGTGAAACGGCTCGGAGGCATTAGGCCTGTGCCACAGGCGAGGGATATCTATAATAAGGACCTGTCGGAGGGAAGGTAACTACTGGTTTCACCCGACGTGTCAGAGTATCAAACTGTGCTTCTTCTTCTGGGTAAATTATGCAGCACAAATAACCTGTTGTGAAAGAGGTTACGTTGAAGACCAGTAATCATGTGCATGTATTAAAAGCGCCGCTCATTAACCTCAGCCCTCTGAGAGGAAGAGATGGGGAGGGGGGACCTCAGAGCACAGATTTTTACAAGGGTCAAAAGTGTTTAAAGTCTTAGAAATCCCTTCTACTGCCCCCTGATGGCTCTTTATACACAACACAGTCACCCTTCAGTGCAAAGCAGCACTTCCTGAACAGACGTTATCGCTGCGTTGATAGACCATGTTTGTCTGTGAGGGCGATGTCAAAGTGATTCAAGCTCCCTAATGTCCTCTCTGTCTGCCCCCGCCCCCCCGTTTTACCTCTCTCCTCACATCAGAGTAAGAAACACGCCAACAAGGTGCGTCTGTTCTACATGCTGCACCCTGAAGACGGAGGACCACCGTCCAAGAGACTGAGGCCCGATAATCCAGTAAGTTTCCTACAACTAAAGAGAATCTACGGTTTGGTGGTTAAACTAGCAGGGCGTGGGCCATATGTGACCCACAACATTTCAACAACAGGGACATAAACACTGATGTTCCTCCCTGTAATCACAGAAACTGTTGCATGTCACGACTCACAATGTCCGCCTGAGCAGAATTACAACAAGGCAGTGATGCCTTTACTGTCTTAGGAAAAAACGAAATTACAGAACGTTACCCAGCCTGTGACTCGTTTTACCTGCTCAAATACAACACTGTTTTAGTCTTTTTAAGAGCAGGTTAAAGCAGGAAAACACACGGTATTGATGAAACATTCAGAAGAGTTCATTTTTTGACTTATCAGTGAAGTTGTTTTCAACTGGATTCCCAAAGAAAGGCTTGGTAGAAAGTTTTATATCTGGATGTTGCCGGCTGTGGCTCCGGTTGTTTGTGTGTGTCTGTGCACAGGTGTGTGGGTTGTGTGGCTGGAGATGGGACACTGTGTTTGTGTATTTCCAGGTTTCTAGGACTCTGTTCTGCAAACGCAGAGGTTGTGTTTGTGCAGGACTCTCATATCCACACGAAACAAGTCACGGAACAAGTCTGGGAGAAAAGAGGAAAGGAAAAAAGTGGGGGAGAAGGGGGGAGGGGGGGGGAGGGGGGGGGAGGAGGGGGTGAAGGAGATTCTTTACTTCTATCAGTGTGGGATGTACTGCAGCTCTGCTGTACTCCATGGTAAATTAGTCACTGAAATCACAAGGTATACTAAGGCTCTGGACGAAGGACTTCACATTATATTCATGCAAAAACATGTTCTGTATCTGCTGGAACAGAAATAGCAGGTAGAGAATAACAACAGATATGTATGCATATGTGCTGGTAAATATATACACAACATAAAATATATAGGGGAAAATCTTTTTTCAACACAACAAACAAAATTACAAAACTGCAAGTGTTAAATGTAAAATACCGTCTACGAACTTTACTCCAGTGTAATGATTTCAAATGTTCATGGTTTTTTTGGAAACACACATACTGTACTCACACATACTGTAAAAATACTGCGGACGTATCAACACACCTGCGTCTCCATCTGTCTCCCAAAGTGAATAAGAAATGACTCAGACCTTGGCTTTCTCCTCAAATGGGTCTTTGAACAGACCATGTGCCTTCACACACACACACACACACGCACGTGCACACGCACACACCTCCAGCTGGTTGTACGTACTGTGAGCTCCACAGCCGGCACTTTGTTCCTAACCTTTCATACAGAGAAGTGACAGTGACCAAGTGACAATGCTGGAAAAACCAATATAAGGAGCACCGCCCTCAGGAGGCCGCTGCAGATCCTCATCATTTAATTTCGTGATAAACTTTTCTGCTTTCATCTCTCTCACACTCTCTCCTCCCCGGGGCAGCTGTACATGCTTTGGTTTTATTCTTCTGCACCTCTGTTCCCGTCCTGATTGACAGGCTGCCGTCCAATGGGAACAGCGGCAGAAAAGGAATTTTTACCGAAGAAATTAAACGCCAGCATCCAGCCAAAGTATTCAAATCCCATGGCTGGACGTCTGCATAAACCGCTGTGTAAAAGTGCATTCCACAGAACAGAGAAAGTAGGTCGTTAAGGTGCTGCCAGATGACAGAGGAGGGTTTTCTCTGTCACCGCTGCACTTTCTGTTTCCTCAAAAGGCCAAGTGATAACACCGTTTTTCCCTGACCCCCATATTCTTCTCTAAAACTCTCGTGCACTGTGGCTCCTTTCAATTTACAGTTTACTTTCAGCACTACTTCAAAGTCCAAAAGAGACTGTTTGTTTTCCCTGTGCTGCTCCGTGTGTATATTTAGAAATGTCTCCCACAGCGCATCCTCACAGAGCAGGGGAGAAGTACGAAGTGGGAGCTCAGAGGAGGCAAAACAGAAGGGGAGGAAGATAAACAGCTAATTAGAAGTCTATTGTTAGGTGCATGAGCAGGAACCAGCCACCCAAACACAGACTGTTCTGTGATATAGTCGTCACTGTCAGCGTGAGGACAAACAGGTTTAGCCGCTGTGTGTGCACACGCGCACGACAGAGACGGAGACGGAGACGCACTCAGTGAATCAGTCTCACCAGATGTGTGAAGTTTGACTGCTTGGACGACGGCAACGTGAGAGCGAAGTGAGCAAAACCGTCCAGCTGAGACGCAATATGGAAGGGAAACAGTGATGCACCGAGTCGACGGGAAGCTGCGATCAACTGACAATTATACATATGTCATTCATGCTACAAACTCCAGAGATTTTCTTTAAAAAGAAATCTCTCAGCGCAGTCTCTGATTCCTGGGTGTAACATCTGTCTCCGACTTCCATCTGAGAAAAGACACACATTTTCTTTGTCTCTCACTCCCTTTTTTCTTCTACTGTTCAGTGACAGCCGAGATCACTGACGCCTGCTGTTATTCCACCCTCCCTGACGTTAGTACAGCTGAATTAAACAGTCATTTTTATGACTAGTTTTGTCCCTTTCACATACGACATAAGAATTTCCAGAAATTAATATCTAAGGAACCGAAGTAGAGCTACAGGTTGTGTGATTTGTGTACTCACCGATACCAGGAACCCTCTCAGATACTTCTATGGTTGAGTTTCAGTAGTTAAGTACGGACTGGAAGGCAGCAGGTGGAACAGACCTGTGGGTAAAAGACTGACGGTCAGTGTTTCTGTGTGAAACCACAGTGAGGACAGAGCTGAAAAAGTTTACTTTCCTTCTTGTTAACAGAAGACTGTTTAAAATAAAAAGTTTTTACTCTTGACATCACATTAAACCAATACTGTACACTAAATACAACTGAGGAAGGGGGGGGGCAGCTGGTTGTGGTAAATGGGTATTTGATTACTTGTACATACTGTATACTATTATCGGTAATTGTGAATTCCTGAAATATAAAATATTTTTAAGAATAATTTTTTAGAAGCTCCTGAAAATTCTTTGTGAAATATTTAATTTTATTTTAATAATTTTTCAAGACCAGACGGTGGAGAATAAACTGGCTGGAGCCAAACTGAGAAGGAGAAGGCAGTAGATGAATAAATTACCATAAATAGCTTTTTAATGAATTTTACAGCCAAACGGTAATGGATATTTCACACTAATCATTACAGCTGTAGTCTTCATTTTAAAAAAAAATCTGGTTTGTGTGTTGCACCTTTCATTCTTTTTTTTTTAAAAAAGAAATCTTTGTCGTTCAAGATTAAAAAAAAAGAAATCTTTGTCGTTCAAGATTAAAGCGAAAACAACAGAGCAGAGTTCCTTTGGTTTCCCACAGTTGGGGTAAAAATATGAGGTGAATAGAACAAACAGAGGTGCAGAAGGTAGACTTCACAGACGCAGGAGATCAAAATTAAAAAAAATAAATAGATTTATTTATTAAAGACAGGGAGAAGAAAGGAGTTTTTTTTTTTGTAGTACGTGCACAGAGTTTAATGAATGAAAAATAAAGACTTGATCGCAATTCATTCAAAACACAAACTAGCATGAAGTCATTTCATCTGCACATCAGTGTGCTCTTTCTCTGATCAACAGTTACTGCTAAATAAATTATATTTTAAAAAAACCTCTTGTTACAATTAAAAAATAAATAGTTGATTTTTGTGTGTGTGGCGTCAACAGTCAGGGCTGAGCAGAGACAACACACACAGTCAGTCAGTCAGTCAGTCAGTCAGACAGTCAAACAGTCAGACAGTCAGACAGTCAGTCAGTCAGTCAGACAGTCAGTCAGTCAGACAGACAGACAGTCAGTCAGACAGTCAGTCAGTCAGTCAGTCAGACAGACAGACAGTCAGTCAGACAGTCAGTCAGACAGTCAGTCAGACAGACAGTCAGTCAGACAGTCAGTCAGTCAGTCAGTCAGTCAGACAGTCAAACAGTCAGACAGTCAGACAGTCAGTCAGACAGTCAAACAGTCAGACAGTCAGTCAGACAGTCAAACAGTCAGACAGTCAGTCAGACAGTCAGTCAGTCAGACAGACAGACAGTCAGTCAGTCAGTCAGTCAGACAGACAGACAGTCAGTCAGACAGTCAGTCAGACAGACAGACAGTCAGTCAGTCAGACAGTCAGTCAGACAGTCAGACAGTCAGTCAGTGTGAGGTAGAGAGGACAGTCAAAAAACTGAAGAGAAGACGAGACAGAAGAGACGCAGCAGCTGAGAGTAAAGCCCAGCCTGGAAGGTAAAGGTGTCCTTAACTCTCACATCAACTCTTCACCACACTAACCAGCGATGACACTCACTCTCAAACACACACACGCACACACACACACACACACTCAGAGATGTTGTCAGAGGTGCCTTTCTGTTATTCCCTCCTCTCTCCAAAGACTGGGTTTTCTTCAACCTGATTTGACATCTGTGCCATCAGGAAGGTGATGGTGTGAAACAGAAACAAGAGTGACAGTGGCTGAGGAGGAGGAGGAGGAGGAGGAAGAAAGGAAGTTCACAGTGTATTTCTGGGAGTGCACGGACTGATGTGTGTAGACATGTATCTGCTGACTGAACTTCAGAACATGTTTTAACTATATCTCAGTGTAGAAACCTTATCTGTGAGAGAATGCAGCTATTTTTTTACATAAACACAAAACAAAAGTCGCTGCGTTTGTTTGTTTGAGGTTTGATCCAAATCCAATGGTTTTAATTGCCCACCTGCTGGAGATTTTTGAAGCCAAAACCTAGTAGTTTAGGAAGTGGTTGAGTTGTTCCTTTTTAGAACTGAATAAAATATAGTTTTCATTCACGTTTTGATTCTGTCAGATAATATGGATTAGATGGACTGGTCGTCAGGAGACGCTCACAGCCGTGGAGGTGTGGATTAACTGCTGGATTCACAAACATGGGATGGATGGATGGATGGATAGATGGAACTTGTGTTTCTTTATGTTGTTAAATACACTATTGTCTATTGCTATTATTATTATTAAGTTAAATATAATCTCCATTTACTGACCATTTAGCATTGACCACCATAACACGCAGTTTTCTGTTGAGTAAAGATTGGAACACGTTTTGACAAAAGGTGCTGATAACACGCAGTTTAAAGATTGGAACACGTTTTGACAAAAGCGAAAAGAACTCCTTCATTGCTACAGTGCAGTCACAGCCTCGGAATGCTCTCCTCGAAGAACTCAGCTGTGAAATTCTTTGCTTTATTTTTGTTTCCTGTTAGTGTCTCCTAACTAGAGGAGACCTAAGTGTCCTCCATTTAAATGTGCACTTCATGTATATTCGCCTCAATCCAGCAGTTCTTTGCGTTCGCTCCATCTCCCTCCTCTGTTGTGCGGAGCTACTTCTCATTAGCAGCAAACCAAACCAGCAGCAGTAAAAAGGCCAGGCTTCAGTCTCCAGCCCAGAGAGATGGATGAATATTTGATTTGCCTTCTTGTTGCCTTTGTGTAGATGTGTTTTGTGCTTAAGACAAGGAGAAGCCCAGAGAAGTCAGACAGATCTCTTCACATCTCATCTCATCTCCCTCTGCTGCGGCATTTTGCTTTTCCCACTTTCACCTCACTGTCTGTCTCCACATCCTCACCGTTTCCTTCTTCTTCTTCACTGGTCTTTAATCTTCCTCACCTCTCACACTCTCTCCTCCTCCCCCAGGATCCACTCTCCTCCCTGCTTCACTATTTTTATCATTTTAATCCCAGTTCTTCTCCTTCTCCTTCGTCCAGGACTGTGCAGAAACAGAAGTGGACAGGAACAAGTGCTGTACCTTGTGCAACATGTTCTTCACCTCTGCCATCGTGGCCCAGTCGCACTACCAGGGTAAAACCCACGCCAAGAGAGTCCGCCTGGTGCTGGGGGAGCCGACCAAACTGTCGTCGGCCATGACCAGCCCAACAAACACAGGTACAGGTTGTCAGTGCTGCTGCTTAAAGGTTTTCATTGAGGGTCAACAGGGGGTGAGGGTGAGGGTGGGAGTGAGGGTGAGGATGGAACCTGGACAGTTCCTCCGTCTGTAGGAAAGCTCCTCGTAATGATGTTCAAGTTGAATTCAAAGTAAGATTTCACAGAAACAGCACTGGATTACTGTGGAGCCACTTAGTGACTTTGTCTCAACTTTGTCCTACTGTAGAAAAGTCTGACTTACAGTATGTGACAGTGGGACCTTAGAAGAGAAGAGACGGAGTGAACAGAGAGAGAGAGAGGGAGGGAGAGTGACCTGAGAAGGAAGAGGAGGAGATTCCAGGAGAGGTGACACTGGAGCTGTCAGAAATGTACAAAAGAACGGCTATTTCACTGACATCTACAGACACAGGGACCACAACAGACAGAACAGTAAATGAAAAAATGAAGTCCGTTATTCATCCCATAATGGAGGAAGATTCCCAGTGCAAATCTCTGCAATCCACACAGGAGGCGCCATTAGGTATGTGGTTCCTCTGGGGAACGACTCCAGGCTGTAAGGCAGGTGTGATAACCACTACACTATGGAACCACTGTTGTTGTTTTTTATATAAAACAGGAGTAAAATAAATTAAATTAAGGAGAAGTTGAGGTTGAAGTTTTTCAGGGTCTGGTGTTCAGAGCGATGCTAACAGCCTGTAGCCGTACCTAAAAGAAACATGTGCGCTGCAGTCATTTGAGCAGAGAGCCTCTTGAACTCTACGTTCTCCAACCCTAGTTATACAGTTTGTGTGTTTGTTTGTTTATTTCCGGACAATCTCAGCTCCAACAGGATCAACAGTGTGAAGGGGAGGCTGTGTCGGGTTTGAGCAGCGGAAGCAGCAGCTATGCAGCTCATCGCAATCACAAATATTTCTCTCATCTCCTGCACACACACACACGCACACACACAAACACACTCACGTTGCCTGTGCCCCACTCCATGAAAACCACTTACTTCTGCTCCAGTGTGCAGACATCACTGTCAGGAGGAAAGCAAAGGTGGGAGAACATGAAAATGCATCAGAGCATGAGTCCCTGTTGCTGCTCCGCCGAGAGCCTCCACAGTGAGAGCAACTTTCCTCACGCACAACACAGCAACACTAAAGATGTCCTGACGGGCTCATTCAACAGCTGGGACTTGAGTGGTTTATTTAGAAACTATTCAGCTGTAAATGAATGATGATATATTTATATATTTTTATATATATATATACACATGTATCTCAGGGGGAGAGTCACAAGGTTATGTTTTGTAGGAGAATAATAGCAGTGATCAGTGATGAGGGGAATGAAAAGCATTGAAATCTTTGGATTTGAGTGGGTGTGGTTGGTGAGATGAGCAGAGACACAGCCATAGATACAGTAACTATGTGAACCAAGCCTGAAGGCACATTAAGGTACGGGCAACCAATCAGCTTACACACACACACACATACACACACAGGTTTTTGTTGCCAACCATTAGACTCATGGACATAATTCATCCCTGGCCTCTTAACCTAACTTCACCTCTGACAAACACACGTCTAATCTGAATTCTGGCTCTAATTCTAATCCGAACTCCATAATGAAAACTGATCCTTAAAAGAGCATCTCAAAGAGCAAAATGTCCCCACGAGGACAGACTGTCCCCAAGAGTATAGCCATACCAGAACCACACACACCCCTCACACTCTGAGTGGCTGGTCAACACCTTCACATGTTCACTTTCTTAGCACAGTCCGTGTCTGTAGTAAAAGAAGACTGAGGTGTCGTGTGGAGCAGTGGAGCAGTGGACACGTGATAAATACTCAGTTCATGACGCGACTTATTCAAACCTCCAGATAGAAATAGAAATTTCTATAGAAAATAGAAATTTCAGTGACACGTTTCAAACGCACATTTGGCCGGACCATCTGGCATCATAGGTTCTCCTCACACACACTGACGGTGGACCCTCCTGCTGTACGGAGACAAATACTTTATCTTTTACACAGAAGCAGTTTGTTGTGTGTGAGCCTCAATCTCCAGATTGACACACACACACACACACACATTTCTAACCCATACACCCACCTTCACACACACACATGGGCACAGCCACGCTTCTCTGTGTGAGCCACAACCGCGTCCTGTGGACATGTCAGTGCCTGTTGGCTATAAATGGGCAATCGCCATGGTAACCAGCCTGATGTCACAAGGAGCAGGTCACCTGGAAGTCTGCCGTGCTTTTATTTTTTACATTCTCTCAAAACGAAGTGAGGCGAGGGGAGTGGGGGCAGAGAAGAGGAGATGAGAGGTAAGAGGGGAGGGTAAAAGACGAGAGAGGAGGAGGGGGGAGGAGAGGAGAGGAGGGAAGGAGGAGAGGGGAGGAAGAGGAGAGGGGGAGGGGAGGGGGGGGGGGCAGGGGAGAGGAGGAAAAAAGATAGGAGACGAGTGGGCAGAAGCCGGGGGAGGGGAGAAAATAGAGATAGGAGTTGACAAAAATGGAAAATTGAGGAGAAGGGAGAAGGGGAGCGGAACAAAAAAAGAGAACACAGATGTAGGTTCTACAGGTGTGGCCTAAAGGGTTGATGTTTCATTTTACTTTGGGATAAATATTTGAATCTGAAATACTGTGATTATGTTGTTAACATTTCAAAAGACAATTCCATAAGAGTAAAACTGTTAATTTTGTCATTTTAGATATAAGTAAAACTGTTAATTTTGTCATTTTAGTGTTATTTTATTTATTTTTTGACTGTTACTTGAGGCCAAAAAATGAATTTTAACAGGTTTTAAAATACTAGGTAAATAAATGTAAATTTATTATTATTATTGTAAATTTTCATTTCTATTTCCCTCTCCTTTTCTCCAAGATTCCTCCCCGTCCACGCCACAGCCCGCAGACCCAAACACATGCCCGACTCCAAACCCAGCACTACCCTGGCCGGTGGCCGTGGACGGCGGGAATGGAGGAAAGGAAGCCGGCAAGTACTGCTGCCTCTGTGGAGCCTGGTTCAACAACCCACTAATGGCCCAGCAGCACTACGAAGGCAAGAAACACCGCAGGAACGCAGCCAGGGCGCGTCTCCTGGAGCAGCTAGCGGGCAGTCTGGATGCCACGGAGAGCACAGGTCAGCTTCATGTCCCCAAAGCCCCACAGGGATGATGAGAGAAGGCAGGAGAGCTGGTAGAAGACGGTGGTGTGAGGGGAAGGGGATAGAGAGGGATCACATTTAAGATCTGTCACACTCCACGGCCACGCCACATGAAGTGAGGAAGTGATTGACTTATTTAAAAGGCAGAGTGAGTCACTGCCCAGCACATATATTTATCTCTCATGTTAACATATATATCACTAAAACATTCCATATTAACTCTAACTCCATATTAACTGGTCTGGTTACAATATATTTTTTTTATAATGTCATGCAATTCACAATGCTGATGGCAAATACTACATATACATACAAATATACACTGTTGATATATAGAGATATAGATATATATTAAAACACTAATGCATACATATATAAATATACATATGTATACATATATTGTAGATATATAGAGATAAATATAGATACATATATACATGCATATATCCACATATATACACACATTTAAACAAACAAATGTATATTATTTCATTGATAAAAATGTAATTCTTTGTTTTTAAACCGGTCAGATTCTGTTCCCGTTGTACATTGATTTTATTGTGAAATCTCCTGTTGTACATTGATTTTATTGTGAAATCTTTAGTTTTTTTCTGAAACTACAATACTTAGCTAGCTTTTATACAGAATTTCTAAAACAAATAAATCCTGTTTAAAAGCTATGAGTATTGTTATGGTCTAACGAGGTTAAAGGGTAAAAGGGTTCTTTACACTGTACAGCACCAGACCACGAGACCAGACCAGGTTGACATGTAACTTCTGATTTAGCCATGAACTCCTGAAGGAGATGAAGAGGAAAGAAATAGAGTGGCAGTGAAAGCAGCTGTAGCAGCACTGACATGTGGGCATTTCAGAAGCCCACCCGGGGTGAAACCGATCTGGAATAGCGACACCTACCCCCCACTCCTACACTGATCATCTTCCCTTACCCTCATCCATCATCTGGGACATGCACATGTCTATACCTAATTACAGCAACCTTATGTGTGAGACCAAGCTAAATCCTGATACGTCATGTCCGTCACCTGTCTAACCTTTCCACACACACCGTCTCGGGTCGCCGGCTGCTCATCTTACCGCAGAGCCCTTACACTCATTAGTGCCAACGTCGCAATGTGTAAAACTGTCAGCTACAAGACCGCAGCTGGCATAGGACCATGACACAGGCTCCGAAATGACAACACATTACAGAGTCAGATTTGCTGATGGTAGAAACACATATGTCACAGGCAGGAAGTTTGACAACTGAGCCGACTCCCTGTGAAAGTACGAGAACAGCAGGGTATCGCCCTCCCCCGTCCGCCCCCTCCTCACTGTTTTTTCTCCCTTTTTTTTCTTCTTTTACAACTCAGGTGTAAGTTGACACCAATTCACATGGAGCACCGATTCATACCAACATGTCTGGGATTCTGTAAATATTTGAATAGATCCAAATATAGAATTACATTGGAAAACAAACTGAAGTGATATTTGGTCTGAAGTAAAAGACACAGTTACAGTTCCTTATGTCATTTACACATTAAGTCTTTCGTCTACTGTTAAGTCTTCCTAAAAGCGTGGTTTTATTTTCAACATTTTCTGATTTAAATAACGACGACGTGTTCCAGCAGGTTTGGGAAACAGCTTTGGTAAATTTTAGCATTTTATCCTTCTAAAGTGTGGAGCTGTTTTGAATTCTATTAACAAGTATTTCTTTTTATAACACATTCAAATTAACATTTAACGTCACATCTCAATCCAATTTAATTAAAACCTGAGAAACGGCTCCGTGTATTTTCTCAAAACCGAAAGAACATTTCAGAGAAACTAATTTTAGTTCTTAGACACTGAAAAGCTTAATTAATCATTTAAATTTATGTTTAAATATGTATTTTCTCAAATTAATCATTTAAATTTATGTTTAAATTGATTTTTACCTTGGTATAAACAATTTTTAAAAAACAGCAGCATCAGTGAGACACTGTACAGTGAGTCCTCCGATAAAATATAGTCCACAGCAAACACCTAAAAACCAGACAGAGGAGGAGCCATTCTTCAAATGCTGAGAAAGAAAAGACAGTTTCTGCTTCATTTTAATTAAATTAAAATTAAAATATTAAAAAAATCTTTTGAGCTACATTTTCGACTCAGAACACACAAGTTGTTTTTTTTAAGAAAACTTAAGTGAGACGAAGGAAATGAGCGAAGATAACCAGTGAGGTCAGTGAACACATCTGATGCCCCATCACTGTCTGGTCCTTATTGGATTATTCAGCTGTCAATCACACACACACGCTCACTTAACAAGATCTAGAACCAGTGATGGCGCCCCTAGAGTCTGATGACGTTTACTAACATCTGAATTATACTGTAAAACAACTGTTCATGTCTATGTTCTGATTGGTTTATGGCGCCACCTGTTGGCTTAGCCTTTTTTTTTTTAATTGTATGGTATTTGTAACATCAGTCCACACCAACAGACCAACAGAGTGTTCCTTTGTTCCGTGTGTCTGTGATGTGTGGTCCAGGTGCCACGACATAAACTATTATCTCAAGAAGCCAATCATATTAAAAGCATGAGTCACGGTGCTGCCTCCGGTGGCTCAGAGGCTTTAAGTGGTGTCATGTTAGATATCATCCTCCCGTCTACACACTGTGACCCAGATCCCTCAACCAGCCATCAGCCAATTTGGAGGTAATTTTGTTCCTCAGCACTTGTAAACAAGACGAGAAAATATGGGACAGATTTTTCAAACGGTTTTACCAAGAACTTTTAGTAGAATGTCATGTTTGAATGCACAGTCAGAGACCCACGTTCTCTTCAAGGTCAGTGGAGGAGTCAGCGTGGACTCACTGCTGACACGATCCATCATACGTGCCGTCAATCAAGTGTTTCTTCCAGTGCATTAAGTCAGAAACACTGTCAGCAGTGGTTTATTCTCCGGGTTTCACGGTTCTGCCCGCGCATGATTCTCACATCTGAGATTTGTTTTATCGCCAGCTCAGGTGTGAAGTCACAGGTGTGCAGGGCGTAATCACAGATGGAGGGATGAATGTGAGGTGGCAGCTGAGAAAACCAGGAGGGGACATTCTGTCTCGTTTCTTTTTGACCTCTTTCTCAACGTCCTGTTCTCTTAAGATTAAATGTATCTTTTTACCGTCTTCTTCCTGCGATACACAACTGTGTTTGAGTGCGTGTCGGTTTGGTTTCTGCATGGAAACCACCAGAGGTTCAATCACTCCTCATATCTCATCTGTCATCCTCGTCAGCTCCCCACGAGACGCAGGTGAATTATTTATACTCCAACAGCGCCCCCGTCTCCTCTGCTCTGCTGTACTGTACGTCCTATTGATCATCCAGCCATTGTACTGTACTTGAATCTTTACATTTACTGCCGCTCCCTTTCATAACGCTGCGACTAAATAACCTCAGAAAATCACAACGAGGTCCCGCACAGTATTTCCTCTCTTTTTTTGGTATAATTGCACAGACGGGGACATCGGGGACAATGTCGTTATTTTTCTTGGCCTGGTGCCAGACAAAACCCTTGGAGATGGATTACGGACGTGGGCCAGGGAGTTGCATTGAGGGGGCGCCGTTGAGGCTGGATGGAGCCCGGCTGACTTGGCTGCGTCTAAACATAAATCATGACAGGGTTAGAAACCCCTAAAGGCAGAGCGGGTGCATTGTCTCTGCTCTCTGGAGAGGGTGCAGTGGAGAATCAGAAGCCGCGAGAAGTGTGTGTGTGTGTGTCTGTGTGTGTGTGTGTGTATTTAAAGACCCAAGAGAGGGTGAATCACCAAAGCAAAGAAAATTGTGTGTAATTGATTACAGTGGCAGTGTTGGGACTGTGAGCTGACCTCACGTCCCATGAGACTGCCTTCGTTGTGAACTACATGGACTCGCTGTACCTCATAGTACTGTGAGGTACTATGTGAGGGACTACTGAGAAGTATTTCCAACATTCACCCTCATGGAGGGTGACGACTGATTCTGTGGTCAAATTTTGGTCACTTTCCATTTTGGCTGTCAATTTTTGCAGGATATTATCTGTAGTTTTGGTTAGTTTTCACTGCCGTCAACAGCATCGACATCACAGTATTTTACTACTTAAAGTATAGAAAACCTGCTGCTCCAAAACACGATAAATTAAACTAGTTTTTGGCCACAGAAGATTCAACCAAAAAAAAGCTTTTACCAGAGACAGACACAGAAGTTCGTCCCAGACAAAACTGACTTCTGTTCTTCTGAACAGTGAAAACAATATTCCTATCATGATGCTATAGTCGGAAAACCTGAAATATACCATGTACAGTATCGCAGTAGTATGTATGTGTTCACAGAGCGTTTTTCTCAACAGTCCATACCAATATTTGGGTCTAAACTCAGATGGTTTTTTTCAAACGACTTTCACATTTCCTGTAAAACGAACCGGTCACTGTAAGAAAAGAATTACATTTTCATGAGTTTGTTGCTTGGTTAAATTCCACTTGGACTTAGTTTGATACAAAGCCGACGCTCGCTGCTCTTCCTCTGCATTGGTATTCATGGTGAAATCCAGCGAGACTCCAACTCAAGCCTTTGCTTCAGACGCTTGGTTTTGATTGGATCTCGGTGGGCCGGTGTTTGGGCTCTCCTTCTTTTTAATCTTGTACAGAGCATGATAAAATAATGATCTGCCGGTAGGACACAGTCTCCGAGGGTTGTGAGTGTGTTAGCTACTGTTCTACCTCCACGGTGAATTAAATTACAGATAAGTGAGTTACACTTACACTCTGCCCCATAGGAAAATAATGTGGAAAACAGAGGAAATCAGCCTGGAATTATTTATTTTTAAACTGATGTTCCACTCTGCTTATTTAGACAAGAGTAAAAACCTTTATTCTGCCACTGGAATACATTCGAATTCTTAAACCACCAACATTTGCCCCGGTGAGATCTGACATGTTTGACAAATCACAGCCCTGCTAGTCATGGGATTCAAACCAGCAACCTTCTGATCAGTTACTCCGCAACATCCTGTTCTATTTCCTCAGACCATTTTCAAATAACAACTAAAAAATATATATATATATATATATCATCTGGGATTGAAATGTAAATAATTGAACTAACATTCCTTCATCGTTTTTAGTTAGAGTATAAATTTAATGATACAGCACAGTTAGCCAAGTTAGCCACAAATTAGCCACGTCTGGGTTTCTGTTTACCTGCTAGAGTTCACAGCAACTGTGACAAAACCAGCTGGGTCTCAGCAGTCGGTCTTTGTGGGTTTAAAATTCAAGAGGAAATGAGAGTGTCTGTATGAATATGTTACAAAAGACCATAAAGACGGAGTTAGCATTTCATGTTGCATTGCACTTTGAATGATATTTTGAGGATGTTCAGTTGTCAACAGTTGGCCCTTTTACTGCTTGGTTCACAACTTCCAGCAATGCCAGGAGTCTTCCACTTCAAATTTATAAAAAAAAAACAATCCCACTACACTTATCGTCTGAGCTCATCCGCCCCCTCATTTCTGTCTCTGTCTTCTGTCTTGGCATTTCTTTTTATGTAATTAACCGTGTTTTGAACACCCTCGTAAACACCACTCCGAGAGCAGCCACGTTTACGGAGGGCGTTCTGCTGTCACTCCTGTTGAGCGCACAATTTTCC